CCAAGAGGCTAGTTCAAACATCTCCTATTAGAAATACTGACACTAAAAACATTCAGAGTAAATTGATTCCTCTGGGTTTGTTTAATCACCTGAAAATGGGGATAAGAAAGCAAGCATCAGGGCTATATGTAATAATATGGTGACGCCACCCTGTATGTCTGCAACAGCAACTGCTTTAGGACTATATTGTTTTCTACTAAAATCCTATACTGAGAATTAGGAAAAGTTAATCAAAAATAACTTCTGATTGACCTCAAATGCTTTAAGACATAAGTAGTGATTGTATAATCCTTAGCATAGCTGTTTCTCCTCTGCCTCTTGGCTCACAGGCACCCAAAGGCTTTGGCCCCTTTATGATTTGGTGAATGAATGCAGGTCAGGGGTCTCACCTCTGGGATGGGCAGCACATTGCTGGGATCTGTGGATCTTTCTCCTACCACTGGGATCTGTGGTCCCTTGTTCTGCCCTAACAGTGGCAGACATGGGGCAGAGCTGACCTGTGGTGGACATGTGGCATGAATGGAAATGAGCCTTTGTCATTTTAAACCAGAGATCTAAGCGTTGTTCATCACTGCAGCATAAGACAGTCCTTCCTGACTGATCAACTTTCTATGAAGTCATCCCTTCCCTGTAATGAGACCATGTTGTCTGTAATAGTGGTTGTTCCAGTAAGTTTATCAATATAAAGCCTACTGAATTATAAATTTATCAATATGACTACTAAATCGTGGCCTAAAGTCCATGAAATATGAAAAGACACAGGAACCAACTGAACAGTAAAGATACTTCAATCCAAATCAAGTAGAGGAAGACAGTACCTTCAACCTAGTTGTAGATGCAGAATTCTTTCTATCCAAATCCTACTACAAAATGTTAAAATAGGTTACAGAATACTGTAATAATAAACCTAAGGATGGAGACTTTAAAATGCCATGGTCCACTGCTTTGTGAAACTGAACTCCAAGCTCAAAGGCACAGTCCTGGTGTCCCCCACTGACATTGTACAAAAACTAAAGTAAAAAAAAAGGCTGATGTGCTCACCTGAGTATGCACAGAACTTCCTGCAAGAATTCAGCACTCACAGTACACATCTCAGTCTTTGTACTCCAATTGTGCCATGGTCCCAACCATTTTGGCCCTCCCAAGAAGGTATACTGTTCTTCTTATTTGGCTAAATGACTTAACCTGGGTTAAGTATAAAAATAAGTATTTCATATTGACAAAGTCAACTTTACTGATAACACTTTCTAATTATGTTTAGGAATAAATTGTATGATCATTATGATAATCTGTGCAGGTTTATATTTAAGGTTCTTAAAACATTTAACAATCTCACATATTAACCTTTTGATTTTCATTTTAAATCTTTTGTGATTGAGAATTTTTCACAAAGAGTATTTGAAAATTTGAAAGCTCAAATTACCATGTGTAAGTTGTATTTACTAGCTTTATAAGTTAAGTACTTAGAAAAATTTTTTTAGTTTTAAGGTTATTTAAATTAGGCCCCTTGAAAAATTTAAGAGTCAGATATTAAACAAACAAACAAACAAACATGTAAAGGTAATGTAACTCTATGGGAGCAAATTAACCAAGTTTGTGAAGTGAAGGCAATTATCTAAGAACATTTTATTGAGTGTCCTTGAGTATTAATTAAATGCCATTTAAGTTGTTTCTATGCACAAAACCTTGTTGGAATAAAGATAATTGAGTGGAAAGTTTGTTTTCCTTTTTCAAAATTTGTGTCTGTCTCAGTACTTTTTACTTTCAGGATGTTTTAACATCCTTAAATTTAACTCATCACATTAAAGTCATTACTGAGCCTTTTTTGATGAGTTGAATGAAAGCAATGCGGGGGAGATGGGTGACAGAGGAAGGTGGACTTTGCTTATCCTTCCTGGCTACCTCTTCTTGCTGCTACAAACACAATAATGACTACAAACCACATTCAGGACACTCCAAAGTGTCCTGGAAGAAATACACAATCACACTATGTCTGAGAGCCACTTCTGCATTCTTTCTTACTCCAACTTCTCCTAAATCCAAGTATCACATTATTATTAATTTCCATTCCATGAAAGACAGGGATAATATTACATAGTTGGCATCCAATAAATGTCTGATTATAAGTAAATTTGCTAGTAATTAAGGTGCTAATTATGTAAAAAAGTTCACATCAGTACTCTTGGCCTCCAAATCATATACGGTTTTATCTCAACCCAATCAAAGAATTACTCTCTTGAAAGATGTTTTAGTCTCCCATCTCACCAAACAGCAGCATATTATAGTATTATAATAACTGAATGACTAGTATTTTGAGAAGCTCAAACAGTTTAAATTTCCAAAGATATCTTACTCCCAAAGAGCAGAAAAGACAACTGCAGATAAAATTTTACAAAGACAGTATCTACAAAATACTGTCCTTGTAAAATAAAGCTGAAGTCATATAATTAAGAAAATGTGTCCCTGGAAAAAAGAAAATTAACAAGCTAAACAAAATAAATAATACAAAGAATAATCATTTATATAGTTTCAGGTTTTATTTTCATAATTATCTTCCTATAGAAGCAATAATCTGTATTTCCATAATAACACATTTAATATTCTACTCATCAGAGCTGAAAAAAATAGGAATAAAGCAGATTTCATACACAAATACCATATTCTGCATATGTACAGATAAATTCAATATATTAAGTCTATTTGGTAGCTGGACTTCACTTACAATGTAACAGAACATTGAATATTAGATTCTGAGCATATTCATGCAGACTTCCACTTTGGTGAAAGTGATGACAGTGAAGTTCTGGAAGACGATTTTTCTTGTAAACACCAAGTTTTATACTTCTGACTATACTCTCAAAGTAGGAACTTATGTGAATAGAAAAAGAAAATGTATAAATGTGAAACAAATATTCTTTATCACATAGAATAACCCTGACAACAAAGAATATCCCCAAGTCCTAGTTACTCAATCTTAACCATGGGCAAGAAGGGTGAAGGAGGCTGCACTTGAAAAGAGCCTTTTGTGTGGTTTAGAGCCCAGCTGCGCTGCTACTACAGAATGCACTTCATCATCACCTTTCTTAAAAAAAAAAAAGTTTTCAGTCCACAAGAGTAAAATTAAAAAAATTTTCCCCCAAGACTTTAATGGGTAGTAAGATCTATAAACAAATAGTCTAAAACATGTTTAAAGTATTGCCAAATCTGTTTAAACAGATTATTAATTAGCTCAAATGAGCATTAATGTAAGACTCGTTTCTGATTGCATCTAAAGTAAAGGATATAAGCAGCAATGATGGGTTCTCTGAAACACTGCAATGTCCTTAAATGCAAATGTCTAAATATAGCTTGTTCATAGTTAATTCCAGTATCATTAATAAAAATGAGCTCCTACCTGAAGAACTATGCCAATAAATTAAGGAAGAAAAACATTAAATTTATTAGAGTTTTTTTTAATCAGACTTACAATAAAAAACTGTATACCAACATCCATGTACCCAAGATCACCTGCCAAAGGAGGATGTTATTATGTCTTAAGCTCTCCTACTGAACTAGTTGTGACTAAAATCACTTCTGATACTCCACCTTAGTGTTTTCAGAAAGTCTAGCAAAATTAAGCATCCTATACTCAAAATTTAAGGTATGACTCTAAAAGAGATAGAGATAGGGCATGAATAAGTAGCATGTGCCGGCGGAATGCACAATGCTGGTGTCTGTAGCCTCTTTCCAATTAACAGATTATGAGATGGGTCTAAGCCACACAGGGTAAAAAAGGAATGTTTCAAAAACAGCATTTTAGGAAATAACCATAAAGGATCAATATATTGGCAGTGCAGTGTTTTAAATACATGTCTTTCTAAAACAATTCTTCCCATTCAGCTAAGTTTTCATAGTATATAGCATTTTCCATATCAAGTTACGATGGAGTTAAAAATCAAAATAAATCAAATTATTCGGGAGAAAAGAAATGTAACTGCACTAGGTTGATGGAAACATTACCTTGTTCTCACAATGCATAAAAAAGGTATTTGCAGGCCAGGAAAGGTGGCTTATGCCTACAATCCCAGCACTCTGGGAAGCCGAGGCAAGCAGATGGCTTGAGCTTAGGAGCCTGAGGACAGCCTGTGCAACATGGAGAAACCCCATCTCTACAAAAAATACCAAAAAAAAAAAAAAAAATTACTCTGGCATGGTGGTACAATTACTCTGGCATGGTGGTACATACCTGTAGTCCCAGCTAACTGCTGTAGTCCCAGTTACTCAGGACTGAGGTAACAGAATCACCTGAGTCCAGGAGAGGCTACAGGGAGCTGTGATTATGCCATCGCACTCCAGCTAGGGAAACAGAGTGAGACCATGTCTTTAGAAAAAAAAAGGTATTCAAGAGATAGCATGGGGAGAAATGACAGATACAGGTGAGGGGACGGAAGGCAGCAAAGCACACTGCCATGTGTGTACCTATGCAACAATCTTGCATGTTCATCACATGTACCCCAAAACCTAAAATGCAATTAAAAAAAAAAAAAAAAAAAGGTATTCATTAGCTATTAGCTCCTATTTGGTTAAGAGCCAAGTAGATATGGAGACAGTCACTATGTATTTTTTAGAAGGAAGAAATATCTACACTTCAGAGAGGACTGAAGATATTTATAGAATCACTTTAATATGCTACCTTCAAAATTTTTCAAACTCATATATAAGAGCTTCAGTGCACCTTTTATTGGGCTAAATAATATTGTTAAGGCTCAAAATAACTTCCTGTTCCCATCTCATCTCTGAAAAGACTTAATAATTTAAATGTATCTAACATCATAAGGGATAAATTTCCTTTTCCAAACAAAACAAATTTTAAAACAATTTTACCACTAAACATTATTTTTAGCAGCAATTATTAAATAAAATGTAAAAAAACAATTCACTAACAGTAACTTACAACTGTCCAAGAGAGAAGAATACCTATGCTTATTACCCCTTTTGTTTAGAACATAATTTATGTATAATTTGGCTTGTAAGTTTTTTAATCAACTGTATTAAAACATGACAGTAGATTTTCCGTTAATTCCTGCTGGTGTCTTAAGAAAGCTCTTATGGAAAGAAAAAGATATGTTTCACAGATGAAGGATATGACTGATTTGGGAAGATGGTAACTAAAAACTAGTTTTTATTAGTAACCAAAATCACGACTGTAATGAAGTACAGATATCCCTAACCTAGACCCAAGTCCTTGAAATGGCATGTCAGGATTTTCCCTTTGTTTTCCTTTTCTTTTCAGCAAGCAAAATACTAGCATAGTCCGCCTGAGTATTCGTCTTCCTCTTCATCAGCAGCTGTGGCAGTGACGCCATCAGGCTTGGCCTGTGGTGTCGCAGGTGATTTCTTCTTGATTCCCCCTCCTGGAACCACCAAACTCAGGCCCAGCTTAGCATACTGTCAACAACAGAACATGTTCTTAAAAGCTGGGTAACTAGAATCCTGACACATTTTACTCAGCTCTAAAAAGACACAGGCTGGCTCTCCACCCTCATGAACACCAGTTCTGCCATTCAGATGGAAAAACAAAACCCAATAACGCTGTTTCCAGATGCCTCATGACCATGGTGGGACAGGTACACAACTAGTAAAACTATCAATCATAAATCTTTTAAATTAAAAATTTAAAAATATATATTTTCAAAACCATGTAAGAAGTTATTTAGAAAAAATTTTTTTCTACATGTATCATTATAAAACAACTGAAGACCTTAAGTTGATCTGATACTATGATGATACTCTAAAGGCCTAAGACCAAACAGGTACTTAGAAATCTACTGAGAAAGAGAAATGAGAAAAAATAGAAACTTATAGCCATGGTTCACCTTAAGTGCAAGATATGATGTAAGGATATTTCTCACACAGAGACTAATGTATTTTTCACAACAGTCCAGCAAGACAGGTACTAGTGGCTTCATTTTTACAAATGAGTTAACTGAGGCTTTGCTAGTTATCACAGATTCCCACAGGTCTACTGAATTACAAAGGCCACTACACAATGGGCCTCTTTCAGACGGTACATCTAAAATAAATGAATATGCTAAGCAACCTATAAGACAACAGATAGAAGAAAAGTTGAGAAATTAGCCTGAATTTTAAAATATGTTTATGGTCAAGAGAGTTAGATGGGTGAGTAAATGGTTATAAATCACATAACTAACATCTACTTTATCTAAATCTATGGTGAAATTCAATGCAAGTGGTCAATTTCCTCATGAGTAGTAGTTTGAGAAGAAAAAAAGAGGTAGAAAAAAAAAACTCCTAAGTACACGGGTAAAAAATAATCTCAATAGAAACCTTTCTTTCAAGAGAAAAGATTAAAGATATGCAAACAGGTCCACTTACATCATTGTCCATGTATTTGAAAAGTGGTGAGTTGCAGACATCTGACACTTGATCTTGGTCTTGCTGGTCATAACCTTCAAGAAGCTGTTCCAGCGCAGCACAGTCTTCACTGCCATTGAACCCTGGGATGCTGCAGTAAGGACAAATCACACATCTTCACCTTCTCCTTAAAAGAGCACATCGCAGCCAGGGATGATTCTGCCCCTGGCATGTGACAATGTCTGGAGACATTCTGGTTCTTAGAAGTGTGGGAATACTAGTGGCATCTAGAGGCCAGAGACCGGGGATACTGCTAACCAACCTGCAGTGCACAGGACAGACCCGACCACAGTTATCCAGCCCAAATGTTAACAGTGTCGAGATTAAGACTGCTCACGTTAAACACAGAAAATCCCTCATTCTGATTTCCATAACATACAATCTGAGAATTTATTCCCCCTTTTTCTTGTTATTTTTTTCTTGGAAGGCAAATAAAACAAAATGACTAAAGTCATTCATTTCCATGGAGGTCCCCAAGAGAAAAATACAGGAAAGGGAAAAAAAAAAAAAAGTGTAAAATGCCCACTGTAAAAGATAAAACGGTAAATGAGCACTCCTAAGATTTAGAAATAAGTTCCATGGCCAGGAACATTTGTCCTAGCAGCAATCTTAGTTGTAGAAACACAAGTGTCGACAACGCAAGTCAAAAGAGCCCAGACAATGTCTTACCTATAGCTCTCCCGGACACATCTTTCTGCAGCTACATAGTCATTTCTGTGTAGATGAACTAAGACTTGAGCAATTGTTTTCTAAAACAAAAGAGAGGACCATGGTCAAATTTATACCTGTTTAATAAAGTCAATATCCTGGCAGTATTAAAAACACTTGGAGTTTAACTTTCAGAGTCTTTGTTTGTATAAAGAGAGATTTATAAATGCTATAGTAGCTTCCACAGGACACTTGAGGGCAAATAGCCTAGAATCGCACTTTTCCAACTCTCGTGCCCTGGGATTTGGTTACATGAAGACAGTAAGCCTGGGGCAAGCCTGGGATTCACCCATTTCTAACAAGCTCCAGGGGGCACTCTTACTGCTGGTCTGGGACTACACTGTGACATAGGCCTTAGATCACAACCATGTTTTAAAGAGAATTTCTTTCAAATATCCACACAGATTCAAGCTTGAAACATGAATAAAAAAGAGGAGGGGGACCCATAACTCCACAATGATACTTACAATCCTTAAAAAGAAACTAGGAAAAAGATGTATGGGTGAAAACCTCAGAGAACAGAAACAATGATAGCACTGATAAGTTAACAATAAAAGCAGTAATAAGATGAAAGATATGACTGATAAATTATTGGCAAAATAGGTCTTCGTGAAGTATTTTTCCATCTTTTTTACCTCTATTGTTTAGGTAACTTTTACTGATCTATCTTCAAGTTCACAAAATCTTCCTTCTGTCATCTCTATTATGAGATAAAGCTTATCTAATATTTTATTTCAATAACATATTTTCCAGCCCTAAAATTCCCATTTAGTTCATTTGTATAGTTTCTATAAACATAATTTTTCAATAAAAAACAACAGAACCCCTTTTCCATTCATTTCTATTGTGTTCACCTTTACGTCATGGAGCAACTTACAGTTGCTTCAAAGTCTTTATGTGATAATGCCAACAACCCTGGTCACTGCAGGGTTGGCATCAGTTGTCTTTTCTCCTAAAAACTGGCCATATTTTCCAGGTTCTTTGCATATCAAATAATTCTGGATTATACCGTGAATGTGATACTGTGCAGCTGCTGCTTAATTTTCAGAAGTACCGATGTTTTCAGCAGGTAATCAACCCAAGTAGGTTCACACTACACGTGGTACCTTGCTTTTGGTGGATGGAGGTTCTACACTTAGTTAAAATCCTTTGCTCTGTGGCTTTGGGCCCGTTCCATGCATAAGCCCTTCAGAGGGCAGTTCAACACTTCAACAGTGATCAAACCTTAGCTCTCCAAACTTTGCACTCCTACTCTGCGGCCTATCTCAACACAGCTGAAGAGTAAATCCAAGTCTTGTGTGGGCCACAATCACACTTAGGAGACTCCATTTTCAGCTCTCTCCTTTCTGGAATTTTCTCCTTGCTCTCTTGCTCATTTTCCTAGTTCTTCTGGCAAAAGAGACTGGGGTCCTTGTGGAGTTTTATTGACCTGAACCATCATCACAGTGTAGCTAGCTCCATGCCTTGGGCACAAGCTTAGAGCAAAAGCCAGGAAAACAATGGGACCTCTTCTCCCAGTGCTGGTTAGAAAGACCAGGTTTCTTTTGGAGTTTTCGCTGTTGCAGCCTGTGCTGCCCAGCTCCACAACTGCAGGCTTCTCTAAGGGCAGGGCAAGAAGTGGAAAAAAACCCGAGAAACTCACTCCTATAGTGGTTGTTTCTCCAAGTGTTTGTTCCTCTCCTTAGTCTATCGGCTTGTATTTACTTTTCAGAGTTCAAGGGTGGTTGCTTTCGCTATCCAGCAGATTAGCTGTAATCAGCAGAGAGACAAGCTGTATTGGCCTTACTCTATCTTGGTCAAAAAGAGGCCCATGAAGTATAATTTTACAAAAAACATAGAAATATCCATAGAATCCTTTCCTGGGTACATATTCAGACCAGTATAAAAAAAATCTAACGTAATGCCAAAAAAAAAAAAAAAAACCCACATTCAAAGAATACCTTATAACAAGTTGGGTAATTCTCAATTTCCTTATAAATATTTTTTTCTTTCTGAATAGAGAGTGCCGCCTCATCAAACCTAAAAGGAAACACAGATACGTAAAACAAGCAGGTCTAAATAATCTATGGCAGAGGTCCCCTGTGAAATGTATTTGACATCATAGATTGTAGAGACACCAAGAGGACAGGTATTGTTAGTAGCTGCCCCAGGACCCAGGTTTCCACACACTCTGCTCATCTGGCTTGCCTTTCAAATGTCTGACTCCTCACTTTCAGACAGTATGCTGACAGAAAACTCAAAAGAACTCAAGGATGGGTTAGGTCAAACAGGGAGTTTGAAGCTTGGTAAGGATTGCCCAATAATGAGTTTCTGTCAAACAAATTTCTTTGTGATACATAGTTGAGATGATCACCCAAGATTTCTTTCCTCCAGACTGAAAGAACATCCAGACACCCCAGGGCACTCCGTGCCGTCACCCAACCGTGTCCCTCCATCACATACTCCACTGCTGCCTCAGTGGCCCTAGGAAGCTCTGAGGTGCCTAAGAGGGCAGCGTTGAGGGGAGGTAAGTTAGGGACCTAAACAAAATCCTTCCTGCATCTTCAATCCTTAACATTCATCTTTTCCACTGACTCTCTCATACATTCTTCTTTTCTTCTATTCTGTCCAATGGCAGAATTAAGATGAAAGCAAGGAAAGGGGTCACCAAAAACTTTCCCCCAAATGCTCCAGGCCCTTATCCCTTTCTCACTCCCCCAGCTCTAATTCCATCAAATCCTAATTGAATCCCCCTTTCCCCAAAACTGTAGTGTACTCCAAATACCAGGAATCCCTGAGTAGCACAACTTGAGACGGAGTGAAACGTATAGTCTTCAGCCATTGCTCTCATCCCAATAAGAGTCCAAGGTTATGGGAGCAACTACCAGGGGCTGGGCATTGGGATTACATACAACCAACTGCCAAAAGGGGCAAGAGTCTGTACTATTGGGATTCAAGGGGAGACAAGTGGTATTATAACCCAAAGTAAAAATACAAAAATGTTATGCTCTTATTTTTATATATGTTATCTTTGTTTTTTTTTTTTTTGAGACAGAGTCTCACTCTTTTCCCTAGGCTGCAGTGCAGTGTTGAGATCTCAGCTCACTGCAATTTCCACCCACTGGGTTCAAGCGATTCTCCTGCCTTGGTATCCCCAGTAGCTAGGATTACAGGTGCATGCCACTTCACCCAGCTAATTTTTGTATTTTTAGTAGAGACAGGGTTTCACCATGTTGGCCAGGCTGGTCTTGAACTCCTGACCTCAGGTGAGCTACCTGCCTCAGCCTCCCAAAGTACTGGGATTATAGGCGTAAGCTACCTCATCCGGCCTGTATGTTAGTTGCATGTATATACACACGCCCACACCCCCTCCCCCCGACACACACACACACACACATCACACACAGTGGCTTGGCTTATGCTATTATGGCTACTTACATCATAAGTTAAACTGAATCTTTATGGGATGTACTCTGGCAACTTAGTGCCTTATAAAATGATACTCATTGAAGAAATGCATTCTGAATTTCCAAAGGTCAACTTGATAAAATTTTGGAATAAAGTCAATTTATAACTTGAGTTTGGTAGCAGAATTCTAAGAGTATTCCCGATTCTTCCCTCTTGTAAACACTTCCCGTATAATCCCCCTTTAAGTGTGGGTGTGACCCTTGAAATACGATGGGCCATCCTGTGATTAGGATACAAATCAGCTGACATTGAATGAATCCCTGTCTATGTGGGCCTGACTTAATCAGATGGGCCCTTCCTTAAGTTAGAGACTGGAAATCAGAGTGACATGCTCCTGATGGCTGGAATTAGCAGCAAACTGCCATGCTGTGAACCACCAAGAGGGGCATATGGTCAGGAACTGAAGGAAAACTCAACAACTGAGAGCAGTTCCTGGCCAACAGGCAACAAGAAAACAGGAATCTTTGTCACATAGCTGCAAGGAAATCAATTCTGCCAACAATCAATGAGCTTGGAAAAGGACCCAAGCCTCAGATGAGATCACAGTCCCCCTCTGACACCTTGATTTCAGCCTGATGAGACCCTAGCTCTGCTACCTAGCAACACTAGGTCCTAGCTACACTATATCCAGACTTCTGGCCTCATGAAATTGTGAACTCATCAGTGAGTATTGTTTTAAACTGCTAAGTCTGTGGCAATTTGCTATGCAGAAATAATAAATTAATGCAAGGCAGACTACAGCTTCCAGTATATACATCATTTTTAATTGTGACCCTGAGCTTACCACAGACCCTATTTTTATAAAATGAATTCAGAATATTCTGTGCTCATAGTGTTCAGATTATATTACGTTCTATTAGCAATCTCAGTATTTTAATTTTCATATATTTAACTATAAAGGGTACATTCTTTACACATAAACTGTTTATTTCCTTGACACAATAGCATTTCCATGTGCTAATATATAGCTACCTAACAAAAGAGCCAAGCAGTCATATGAGTTGGTAGTCAAAAAAATTGACTTTGCTAAAAGGCCATGAAATTAGCCTATAAACCAATCTATTTCTAAATGTATCTAGGAAAGTATTTGTTACTTATTATAATGGAACAGATGATTTCAACTTTCCCATCAGGCAATACTTAATATTCCTAACAAAATTGACAAGAATCTGGTTTTGCTGAAAACAGAATAAATTGTTTTTATCTTCCTATAACTAAAAAAAAGTTAAACCCAAATGAAACAAAATTGAAATCCCACAGAAGGAAATAGTAGAAAACTGTTATAGAATCTCATTGATCCCCAAGCTTTCAAAAGACACTTTCCTCACCATGACTCAAACTCTTCTTCTGGCCCCAACTAGTTCTTGAACTCCAAACCAACTGGCAACATTGGTAATGTTTCGAGGATGATGGTGGTCCCCATCCCTAGTGGAGCTTTCTAAAGGAACATGCACAGGCAGCTAGAAAACATTCTTCAGCTGACCTCCCCCAAAAAGATACTGGCCTCTCTCCTTTCCTGTGCTACTCTACAACACAGCTTTAGTTGATCTATACAGCTTGAGAAACAAAAGGAAAGAAGTGGAAAACAAAAATACTTCATGGGAGCTAAGGCAGTGTGGCTCTCACACAGGGCTGTCCTTACCTTCTCCCACTTCCTGCAACTTTACTTTCTCCACTTTCCATGGGGTCCTATAGTAAGGGGCTTAGCACTCTAGAAAGTCACTGGGAACCTTGTGGAGGAGCATTAGGAGGTGAGAACAGATGAGAAAGAGATAAAGTATGCTTAAACTTGCCTCCTGGCTGCCCTGAGAAGAATGAAGGATGCTGTTTCTAAGACATGGGGCCCCTGCTCGCTAGTCAGAACCTCGGTATCACCTCATAGTTCAGCTATTCTGCCACAGCCATAGCACCATCATCAAGAACAGCTCTGCTGCTGTAACAAACGCTTTCAAAAACTAAACTGAACCATTTGTAAGTTGGGAATTGTCAGAGTTAGCATTTCAGCAACTGATTTCTGGGAAGCAACAGGTAATAACATGAATAAAGGTAATGACCCAGGAATAATAAATAAACTTTGCTTCATGATTAAAGTTCTAATTTAAAAACAAAATAAAATTTCTTTTCCAATTAGACCAACAACAAAAAAACTACTCAATGAAGGAAGGTCCTATAAAAAAAAGTAGTTCATCTAAATGAGATTGTTTAACAGTTAATTCTAGATTAATTTATTCTCATGTTAGTCTAGACAGGTTTAAACCGTATTTCAGAATCTGCAGTCTTCATGAAGAAAAAAATTAATTCTTTTTTCTTACAACAGATTCATCAGTCATTTCTACTTTGATTCCTTGACACATTAAATGGATCTCGGGTCTTTTCTGCTGGTGGGAAGCTTTGGGTAAATTTCAATTAAGATATCTGCAGACTTACTATCGCCTAAAAATGTTTATCTTAAATATTGTTGAGACAGAATTGTATTAATGATAAAAATTATTTACTAAAAGTCAACTGAGATAAAGCAAAAAAAAATAAAAAATAAAAGGAAAACCCAACAGGATTTTAGCTTTCTGAAGTTCAACTATTTGTGCCTCAGATCATGTTGAAAGGATAACAAGGTAAATATTCTGTTAATGACACTATTTGTCAAGAACCTGTCAATTTTCAGGGGTGAGTGTTTATGCATCTTTGTCATTTATCCTAATACTCTTATTTTTCCTTGAGAGAGATACTATAATCAACCAAATAACAGATGAAGAAAACTGTTCCCTCTCATGCTGCTGAGCCAGGGTTCAACCAATAAAAGTACAATGCATGATAAATTTGGGCATTACACTTTCAAAAAACAACAGATCTTTTAATACCTAATTCAGTGTGGCTACTGTCTAGTAAATGTTAATATTCTATTGGGTTGCCTGGTGTGTCTACAGCTCACACCAAAAAATTAACAAGCTATCCCCCAAATTACTTTCCAGTTCTAATGTGGATTCAAAGTAGAAACACAGAGGAATAGTTCTTAAAGACATACCTACGTCCTCGTACTAGTAGTCTGGAGGCTTTTCCTAATAATTCAACTGCCTGTCGTAAGCGTTCCTCATTCTGAAGGAATCAAAGAAAAACAAGTGTTGGCTGTTTTAATGTTGAATTTTTTTTATCCCATATTTATTTTGTAAAGAAGTAATAGCACTGGATCAAGGGGGAAACACAAAAGCTGCTAGTCCATTTTACTACTCTCTAGTAGAAAAGAAATAGCACACAACTGTGAGCAGGGAAAAGTTTTAAAAGTAGACACTGCATTTATTTATTTCCTATGTATTATTTATCTAAACATTCTAAATAATTAAAGAAAAAATAAGACTCAAACTTACTTCAAACACATTAGCTGTCTGTTGATATAACTGCACAGCCTTTTCTGGATCAACATTTTCTATAAGCCTGAATTAGACAAGAAAATATGATCTACATGAGCAATAGAAAGCTTGTTTTTCAAAGACTTTATTAAAACAAAAAGACAAGACTTCTATGCAGAGACTGGTGCATCTCACACTCACTTTCCAGCTCGCTCCAAAGCCATGGCTGCTGTATCTGGGGTGCCATTTTCTAGATACATCATGCTGGCTTTCTCAATTAGCTGAACAGCTTCTGGTAGTTTCTGCATCTCCTTTGGGTAAAGGATACAGCACAGATCAGCAAATGTATCAATTAAAGAAATTACCAGAGTTAACAATCTGAAATGCAATTATTTCCAGGACACATGTGCAGAACGTGCACATTACATAGGTATACATGTGCCACGGTGGTTTGCTATATACCTATCAATCCATCATCTAGGTTTTAAGCCTCGCATGCATTAGGTATTTGTCCTAATGCTCTCCCTTCCTAGCCCCCCATCCCACGAAAGGCCCCAGTGTGTGATGTTCCTCTCCCTGTGTCCATGTGTTCTTGTTCAACTCCCACTTAACAGTGAGAACATGCAGTGTTTGGTTTTCGGTTCCTGTTTTAGTTTGCTGAGAATGACAGCTTCCAGCTTCATCCATGTCCTTGCAATGGACATGATCTCATTTTTTATGGCTGCATAGTATTCCATGGTGTATATGTACCACACTTTCTTTATTCAGTCTATCACTGATAGGCATTTGGGTTGGTTCCAAGTCTTCGCTATTGTAAATAGTGCTGCAATAAACATATGTGTGCATGTGTCTTTATAGTAGAATGATACATGTTCCATTGGGTATATCCCCAGTAATAAGATTGCTGAGTCAAATGGTATTTCTGGTTCTAGACCTTTGAGGAATCTCCACAGTGTCTTCTACAATGGTTGAACTAATTTACATAACCACTAAAAGTATAAAAGCATTCCTGTTTCTCCACAGCCTCGCCAACATCTCTTGTTTCCTGACTTCTTAATCATTGCCATTCTGACTGGTGTAAGATGGTATCTCATTGTGGTTTTGATTTGCATTTCTCTAATGATCAGTGATGATGAGTTTTTTTTTCATATTTTTTAGCCACATAAATGTCTCTTTTTCTACAAGGAACTTAAGAAAAAAACAACCCCATCAAAAAGTGGGCATAGCATATGAAATGCAATTATTTTTGACTGTACAAAACACTGTACAGCATAAATATATTTAAAATAAAATGCTTTACATTATTATTCTTTCAATCAAGCTTCATTAAGCCCAATCAAAATATACCATATAATTTCTAAACAGAGTTCATCATCACTTCATTGACCTTTAGGAAAACTATGAAAATAGAAAAAAAACAAAAACCTTGCTTCTTATTGTTTCCTAAGCATTTCTTATTCTTTAAACATACTAAGTCCCTAACATATACAAGACCTATGCCAAATATCAAACAGGCAGCCCAATGACTCCATCTCACTTCCAAGTGTGTTTTGCTTGATCCATGCAGTATTTTAAAATCAGATACTTTCACAAAAGCTGTTTTATGGCTTTCTTCAAAAAAAAATATATATATATATATATATACACACACATATACATATATACATATATACATATACATATATATATACACCCATAAATATATATATAAAACTCAAAATCTAAGCACCAGCAGGCTTGCATCCCTGTATGGCAACAACAAGCTGGGGCTGGATAGTGCTGTCCCATCAAATGAGCATGCACCTCCTGGCACTTCTCCCTGCTCTTCACTTCCAACTTCCCTCCACATCCAGGCTGCTTCATTCATTTCAGCTATTCCCATATGACATGAGTTCATCTGAGTTTGCAACCCTCTTCCATGACTGATAAATTCTGTATCTTTAACTTATACAACTCAGGATCATGCAGTCCTAATGTCTAACATCTCCAAATCAAACATTTTCGAAATAGACTAAAAAAAAAAATCACCTAAAAGCTAGTTATAAAGTTTACAGGAACAACTTATTTAGTGTTGACTTGCTGTATCTTAAGGTAGGCTCCACATTGCATCTTATGGGTGGTTTACAAACCTGCCTATTCAGTACCTTGCAAAGTCGACAAATTCATTAGGATATTCCTAACAAAACTGGTCTCATTTTCACCAACCCCAAAACATACTTTATTATTTAGCTATGGAAACTAACAAAAAAAAACAGACTGAAAGGTAATGTATGAAATAAGGCTGCTATCATTCACTCAAGCAGAATGATATGCTAATACATCTCCAAATCTCAAACAATACTTCATTATAAAACCAAAGGTCAATGAAAGAATCTGACTCCACAATATTTGCTGAAGGATATCTGAATGAACAGGGAGGTAAACCTAACAATTCTCTCTCAGGCACTTTAGTTCTGAGGGTCATTTTGGCTTTTAAAGAATACAACTGAACCTTGAACAACAGGGATTTAAACTGTGTGGGACCAATTACATGCAGACTGTCTTGCTCCTGGGCTACCCCTGAGACAGCAAAACCAATCTCTCCTCTTCCTCCTCCTCCTCCTCAGCCCACTCAAACGTGAAGACCATGATGAGGATGAAGAGCCTTCTGATGATCTACTTCCACTTAAAGAACAGTAAATATATTTTCTCTTCCTTATGATTATCTTAACAATATTTCCTTTTCTCTAGCGTACTTTATTGTAAGAATACAGTATAAAACATATTCCATATAACACATGTATTAACTGACTGTTTATATTATTGGTAAGACTTCCAGTCAACAGTAAGTTAGTGGCTTACACCTATAATCCCAGCACTTTGGGAGGCTGAGGCAGAAGTATCACTTGAGCCCAGGGGTTTGAGACCAGCCTGGGCAACACAGCAAGACGCAGTCTCTATTTAAAAAAATTAAAAATTAGCAGGACATGGTGGCATGCGCCTACACAACTACTAAAGAGGCTGAGGTGGGAGGATATTTGCTTGAGTCCAGGAGGTTGAAGCTGCAGTAAGCTACGATTGTGCCACTGCACACCAGCATGGGTAACAGCATAAGACCCTGTCTCAATAAAACAAAAACAGTAGGCTATTAGTAAAGTTTTGGGGGAGTCAAAAGTTGTATGTAGATGTTAGACTGCACAGGGGATTAGCATCCCAACCCTGGGGTGGTTCAAGGGTCAGATGTATTTCTTCCTCTGATTTACCTATCCATTAATTACATATTACTGTCAATCTACAACATACAAGCATTTGGGAGGATAAAAAGAAATAACACAGGGACTATCTTTCATGAGTTTTACGCAGTAGATTAGATAGACAGAGCAAAAAATACAGTCTCTGTACTTTATGTCTGTAATAGCCACCTGGGAGCTTCCTAGTTCTTGGTGGAAAATGAGACAGAAGAAGACCAGAGCAGATTCCTGGCTTCTTTGGCTGTAAGAGAAACTCTAGTTGCAAAGTTGCATCATGAAATAACAATTCAGTTGCATGTTTGGCCAGAAAAGCTGTATTTCAATGGATATAAAACAGCTTTTCATAGGAAGAATCACAATGTCTTTAAACACTTTCCCATGATTAAAAATTTAGATAATTGTCATTTCTTCAAAAAACATCCTAATGCATAAATCTTTGCTATCTCTCTCTGTCTCTCTCTCTCTCACATACACACACACACACACACACACACACACACACACACACGACAGATTCACAAGATTGAAATTCCTGGGTCAAAGGCTATAAAATCTTTCAAATTAAACATGTTAACAGCTATTACTAACATTCTTTAACCTTTCCAGTATATCTTATTGTTCTGCAAGAAGAATGTGTCCACTGAAAAAAAATAAGTTCACATTACAAAAGTCATAGAAATTAAAAACAAAAACTTTACTAAGGTCAAAGTTCTTAAAAACAAAGCTTTATAATGAATACTTGAAAGTAGCTTTTACCATTTTAGAAAAAAAAATTTTTTTAAGGATTTTATTTCAACTGCCAGCTGACACACTTTAAGAGTCAATATCATATGTTCCGTCTCACCACACCAGGACATTAATTTCTATCCTGCTTTTGGGGGCAGAAGTACAAACAGTGGCATAGGTACATTAGTCGGAGAATGAATAAAAGTAGCAAAAGCTTAAATCTGTGGTTGTCTCTGCTGCCAACTGTTCTCCACACAAGTAAACATCTCTTTTTTATAACCAAGTATGATCATTTTTAAAGTATTTATAACCATTCAGATGTCCTTCTCAAAGCAGAGAAACTTCCCAAAGAGCTCTTTTTATAGCAGTACACATCTGTCCTGGTTATAAACCTTAGAATGTTACTGTTCCCAGTTCCCTCCAAAACATTTTCCCTTAAATTTCACTTTAACACTCCTTACCTTCAGACGCACAGAATGTGTTCTATGGGTCCAATTAATGTTACCATGGACAGAAAATCAACTTAGCACCTCTTGCCTTACAGTAAGGATGCATTTCAACTTCAACATAAATTCTTCATTAACACCTTATAGTTAATTTATTTTACCTACACAATAATTGTGACACAACATTACTGACCTTCAACATCATTCCAGCTTGCTCATAAGCTCTGCAAAGAGAATAAAATTTCTCTGATGAGATCTTAATGAAATAAGGGGTAGGAGAAACTTTCTGTTGAGGAACTAACTACTGGTAAGTGACTTCGATTCAAATGGACTCATGAACAACATATCACTTCAAACTTGTGCTACCACACAATACAATTTCTTATTATTTTTATTTTCATGGGGAATAATGGCTTAGAACATCAGACATTTGAGTTAAAGAGATTTTATTTTGCAGATGCAAAATTAAGTAAGGTTCAGTAAAGTTAAATGACTTTCCATCTAACAAACCTAAATCTACGGGGTTTTTTTTGTTTGTTTTTTGAGATGGAGTCTTGCTCTGTTGCCCAGGCTGGAGTGCAGTGGCATGATGTCAGCTCACTGCAAACTCCACCTCCCAGATTCAAGTGATTCTCCTGTTTCAGCCTCCTCAGTAGCTGATATTATAGGCACGTGCCACCACATCCGGCTATTTTTTATATTTTTAGTAGAGACAGGTTTCACCAAGTTGGCAAGGCTAGTCTCGAACTTCTGACCTCAAATGATCCACCCACCTCAGCCCACAAGTAACTACTCTCTGCAAAGCAGGAGAAAGCTTCCTGCTTCATTTTCATAGGCACTACTAGCTATCAAACAGAGGAAAAAAGAGATTCTAACTTATTTTTTCATGGACTAGTAAACAAAATGCTCCTAATAAAATATTATGCCAAATTTAATTTAAACTCCTTACATTTTAGAGTTAAGAGTGATTTAGTTTTTAAGGTTTACGTAAAAACTGAAGCAAAGAGAAAGTATTATTATTTAAATCAATACAAAATTTATAATTTGGGAAAAATTTACCAACCTACAGAAAAACAGCAACATTTAAAATATAATTTTCAAATACATGAAAATATGAAGAATACTTACTTGGCAGCATGAAAAAGACTGAACAGAAGTAACGAAGTCAAAGTTAAGGAAAAAAGAAAAATTCAATAGTTTCTAGAGATCTACTATTTAAAGACAGTTAACTAAATCACTGACCTAGGTGGTTCCAAACGACAAATCCTACAACCAGGTAAAGAAGAAATAATTCAGTGCCCGTTGATATAGTTTAAAACTAAATAATTCCCCAAAACACTGACTTAACACTGCAAAAACTATTTCTATAATGCAATTCACTGAAGTGCAAAGTTATTATGACTACACTTTGCAAGTGAAAGAAATATTTTCTATTGGTAAGTCTTCAGCACATCTATAGATTTCTCTTACTTCATCACAAGTAAAACCATCATCACGTAAAACCACAAACAACAGAAACTAAGTTCTCAAATGTAGCTCTGCGAACCAGTGTGGATCTTATGATCAAACTTCACATAAACACTCCTTCAGTTTAAAAATAAACAATTTTTCTAATCATTTTCTAATTTAAAAACATTTTACTTCACAGGTAGTAAAGGAAATTTATAGCAAGAGAAAACAGCTTGTCAAAATGATCTAAATGTTTAATTTCTTTTTAAAGGTTGAAAAAGATACGCCCTATTATTTTCATGGGCAACAGCTTCCCTCAGGCAGGCATCTTTTGCTTGCTCAAACTGTTTGGCATTTTTAAAAGCAACAGCTGAAAAGGAAAAAAAAAAAAACAATTGACTCTCCATTTCCATCACTGAAAACCTCCAATGAATCATTACTGAAATCTGCATTTTATATGAAGTATCACAAACACACTTATTTCAAATACTTAGGAAGTTTCCAAAAACTATAAAACACTACTTTTTTCTAAAGCAATTGCCTTAAAACTTTTCCAATTATCAGTAACTTAGGAGTATTTTTAAGTTTTTCTTTTTTAATTGTTGACTACTGGCAACAAATCAGTTACTTCAATTCAAAATCAGTAAGTCTTTCTAACTCCAACACTCCCTAACACTCTCCAGTGACAGGTAGATTCTTTAGTCACAAAAGACAGCACCTTACTTCACTACTTTTACATTTAATAATAAAACAGAACTTTAGGTGTAGGTCATTCAATTATGTAGAAAATGAAGGACAATAAGCACATTAAATAGTTTTTTATAATAATCCTTCCTTTGGCATAATCTTTAAATGTCTAACAATGCATTTTTTAAAAAATCTTTTATATTGTTTACTGTCTATAAAAAAAACTCACTGTTTAAACAGCTAAAGTATACTCTGAGCTGTTTTAAAAGTGTAATCATCAAAGCAAAACAGAATGCTTGTAAAATATAATCTTAAAATTTTGGAAAACTTTTCAAGGGTTGCTTACAAAGAAGCAAAAAGCATAATGCTTTAAGAAAAGTGTTATTTGGGGGTGGGGAGTTGGGGAGAGATAGCATGGGGAGAAATGCCAGATATAGGTGATGGGGAGGAAGGCAGCAAGTCACACTGCCACGTGTGTACCTATGCAACAATCTTGCATGTTCTTCACATATACCCTAAAACCTAAAATGCAATAAAATAAAATAAAAAATAGAAAAAAAAAGAAAAGAAAAGTGTTATTTGTTAAAAACACTTTTAAAATTCTCTTTAATAAAATGTGATAACCAAATACTGAACTATTCTCCTCCTTGCTTTTCTATCTGGTGCTTTTTAAAAAATTTATTCTGGTTAAATAGATTTTCCATAAGCCCTTAAAGAAATCATCACAGATATACTGAAAGCTATCATTCTATAATTTAGAATGCTAAATTTTTAGTAAATTTCCTTTCTGTTGCATATTTTAGGTTGTTTATATCTTACATACAGATAAAATGATTAAAACACATATATAAACACTTCATGAACAATGAACAGACACACTCAAAGTGAGGTTCATAAAAGATAAAAATACCAAGCAAACATGATCTGCAGATCTCCTTAAGATGAGGATAAATTAACAAGAAAATTTCACAAACTCTTTATTCAACAGAAAGTATTATAGAGAAATATGGCAAAACTCGTGGATACAGTATACAAATAACTGGAGTTGAAAAATATATAAGCAATGCTAAAAACCCACTGCTGTATATCACCAACCTCACCCCATCCCTGCTGTCATAAACAGCAGGTACCAAGATCTCTGACTCAGCTCTCAACACATCTGAAAATAACAAGAGGTAAAACACTCAAGAGCTTGCACAGTTGTTCTGTTTGTTTTTTTAACTATTAAAGCCTGGTAGAAAGCACATGAGTAAGTATTACAGTGAAATGAAGTTATCAGACTATTTTAAGATTACATACTGGAGCAACCGGACTATAGTCAAAAATACCTGCTTTTCCATATTCAGAAGCGGCACTGTCATAATCTGGCTTCCATTTCAAAAAACCAGTTTTCAGGCTAGAATGAAAAAAAACAGTTAACAGAAGTTACCAACCACATTTATAAGTCAGATCCCTGCTTGTAATAACCTTCTAGGTTAAAAAACAAAAAAACAAAAAAACAAAAAAAAACAAAACAGAGAAAAAAAGGAGGAGCCATCAGACACAAACTCTTTGTGTCACCCTCCTCCATCCAAACTTACGCCTAACAAATACAACCTCACCTCTTTCTCTCCCACTGTCACAGTATGTGGTTTTCCTCCTAGAGGTTCTCAATTCATGGTCCCCGGACCAGCAGCATCAGCACTGCCTGGGAACTTACTAAAAATGTAAATTACTGACCCCATCCCAAGCCTACAGAACCTCTGAGGTTTAACAAGCCCAAAGGCACATTAAAGCTTAAGAACCTCTGAACCACAGTAATGACAGCAGAGGGGGATTCATGAAACTGAAGCGTGATGAGAGGCTAGAGACATAAGTGGAGGTGTCATAAGCAAACATCAAGAGCATAGATGAGATGCCCTAGTGAGAATGCAGAGAGAGAACAGAAAGACTAAGGAATACAATCACTCAGTGGAATGACAGAGGGAGTAGGTACAAAAGTCAAGAGAAACTGCTTTCCAGGATCACTACTGGCTTCTTGGACGCCAAACCAAAGGGCAGTTTTTTGAATCCTTATCTTAATTGCCTTTTCCTCAATATTTTATTTCTTTTTCTTACTTTAAAATAATTTCAGATTTGGTTTAAACTAATTCAGTAACTGTCAAATTTGAGTGTGTGTAAGAATTGCCCAAACCATCTTAAATTCTAAATTTCATTCAATTAGTGAAGGTCTGCTTGGATAGAATGCTGCTTGCTTCAAATGAATCAGGGGAGTACCTTAAGTGAAAGACAGGGAATCCGAATTATTCCTCAGAAGTATAGCCTTCTTTTTGTGACAGCCATGTGAACTGCCAAAAGTAGTAGCCTGTTTTTGTTTTTTTTTTTTTTCTTGTGATAGGGTCTCGCCTGGTTGCCCAGGCTGGAATGCAGTGGTGTGATCTCGGCTCACTGCAACCTCCGCTTCTCGGGTTCAAGTGATTCTCGTGCCTCAGCCTCCTGAGTGGCTGGGATTACAGGTTGTGCCACCACACTCAGCTAATTTTTATATTTTTAGTAAAGAAGACATTTCACTATGTTGGCCAGGCTGGTCTCGAACTCCTGGCCTCAAGTGATGCACCTGCCTAGGCCTCCCAAAGTGCTAGATTATTGGCATGAGTTACTCACTGTGCCCAACCAGCCATAGGTTTTAAGTAACACTTTTTGCCAATTAAATTTATTTAACATACTTAGCATCTAAAACTTCTTTGTGTATATAGTGTTACAAGATTCAAATTAGTACAAGCAATTTTTCAAGCTTACCAAGAATTTCACTGCTCAGAAAAATAATATCCTTGAATTGTGGTGTGTCTACTCTAATTCAGAAAATTGAGGAAATATGCAAAATTCTAACCCTCCATTCCTACCCCAAAACAAACACTACATTCTTTATATTAACATAATTTTTTAAATCCCAGTAAAACCAGATACAATCATTCAGTCACCTGATGTGCTATACACGGAAAGACCCAGAGAGTTTAAAACTAGGCAAAACCATCCCGGTCACATGAACACCACTATTGAGGAAGAAAGACGTACAGCTAATTTAGGTTTAGTAGCTATACCTGTTAGTCCTTTTCACTCTTTTTCTCCAAAGGATCAATAAGGAAACTGACCAGATTCCACAGAAAAAAAGTAAACAGCAACATGACCATCTGTGTAGGGGGATCAATTTCCAAAATTACTCAGCAATACTGAACTACATCATCACTAGAAAACAGAGAAAAATCAAGTATCTCCTAAGCTCCTGGCCCATTTTGCCTGCCACCCACTCAGTAACTGTCTAGCAGCATTTCAAACTAACACTTCAAGCCTGAACCCCACACCTCCCCACCCCACCTCCCTGCCCCAGACCTACCCACCAATCATGTCCATTAACCTATATCCCCTATCTTGGCTGAAGACCTCTCCCACTCCATCTCTCAAGTTAGAAACCTGAGTTAAGCCTTTATCTCTATACGCAGGCAGGTTATTAAAGCATGTCAACCCTATTGACAAATGTCACCCAATCCTACCTCTGCACTGTTACTTGAATTCAGGCCATTACCAACTCTTCCCTGAAGTCAATAACCCCCTAACATGTCTGGCACCACCTTCATGGGAGAGTCACCTTTCCTTCTTTTCCATTCCTCACACCCTGAGGATATTACCTTTTCCCTGCTTCATATCTCCACCATACCATAATGAAAACTTCTATTCTAGCACTGAACATCTTATTTTTACTCCTCTGTTCACTTGTCTGCCTGCCTGTGAATTCTAAACTCCTGAAGGCACCGCTTTTGGTTACTCCAGTATCCTCAGTGGCTGGTACAGGTACACAGTGACAACTTTGTAAATGTACTGAATATGTCAAAATTCTCCCTCCAACCCTCTCCCCACAGTCCATTCTCTACATTGCTGCCACATTTTTCTTTTCTTTCTTTCTTTTTTCTTTTTTTTTTTTTTTGTAATGCAGTCTCCCTCTGTCTCCCAGGTTGGAGTGCAGTGGCGCGATCTCCACTCACTGCAACTTCTGCCTCCTGGGTTCAAGTGATTTTCCTGCTTCAGCCTCCGGAGCAGCTGGGATTACAGGCGCACGCCACTACGCCAGGCTAATTTTTGTATTTTTACTACAGACAGGGTTCCACCATGTTGGCCAGGCTGGTCTCGAACACCTGACCTCAAGTGATCCACCCACCTCGGCCTCCCAAAGTGCTGGGATTAAAGGCAAGAGCCACCACACCTAGTCTGCTGTCACATTTCTTTCACCAAAAACAAATCTAGCCAGATCCACTGGTTAGATGCCTACAAGAGCCATCTGAGAAGCTGACCCTTCACACTTTGGCCCCAACTCTTCTTCACGCCAGTTTTTCCCGTCACTGGGACTACACTACAATCACTGTTCCCAGAGCACTTTCCAGGCCCGTGTATGATGCATACTACAGATTGTGTACAGAAGCTCGTTCACAGGATTTTCCCTGTCTAAAACATTCTGTATTTTTCAGGCCCTGCTCACAAATAATCTCTTCCTTAAATTTTCTCAGGCAGAATAAACGTCTCCCTCTATGTTACCTATGCACAGTTCATGCAGCTTTTTTGTGGTCCCTATTCCACACACTATTTATTCTTACTACAATTTTTACAATTTCCACAACAGATTGTTGTGGAAACCTCCTGCACCAGGACAGCCCCAGTACCTTACACACTGACTGCCTCGAGTCATGTGATAGAAGGGGCTTGAGTTTTTCCACTGTTTGAAAACTGGCTCTGCCATCTTTCACCTGCGCAACCTGGGGCAAGTCGTTATGAGACTTCTATGAGCTTCATTTCTTCTTACGAAAAATGAGAATCTCTATTTGGGCAGTAACTGTGAAGATCTTAGCTTATGAAATTACGTATGTGAAGTACCCACCACAGAACACAGCACCAACTTTTGATTAACCCTGTTAGATAAAAATGAGCTGGAGTAATAAAACGGTGGGGGGTGGGTGCAAAATAATGAATTAAGGACGATCAGTTCAGTCCCATGAACATTGGCTGGAACATACACATCGAAGGACGAGGGAAGCACAGTCGTGGCCCACTGGAACAGTAAAATGCCAGATGACAAAGGTCCACGGAGGAGATTTTGGGGTAAATCTATGGTCCTCTCCACACAAGGGGCTCTTCTAGGGCCGTGGTTCTCAACCGGGCGATGTTGTTCCCCAGAGGACATTTTTGGTTGCCACACATGGAGAAGAGGTGCGACCGGCACGTCGCAGGTAGAGGCAAGGGATGCTGCTAACGAGCTTCGGACACAGACAGTCCCCACCACAGGAAGCCTGCAGAAGCTTGGCGCCCAGGTAGAGAAGCCGTCTTTAGAGACCAGCCCCGCAGCGCCGCGCCGGGTCCCCGCCCACAGCGGCTGCGGGGAGCGGACTTCCGGCGGGGCGGACCCGCGGCGCTGCCCTAGGCGCTGGGGGCCTGACCCCGACCCCGACCCCGACCTCGGAAGCGCGACCCCGGGGACACCAAGCCCTGACAGCCCCGCAGGCGCCAGCGCGCCGGGCCCCCTCAGCCCGGTGCCCTCCCCCTCGCCCAGCCGGGTGCTAAGGCCGCACCAGGGAAAGACGGACTTGGCGTCCACACGCAGGCCCGCCCGGCGTCTCACTCACTATTTCTCTGCTTTGGCGAGGTGCTCCAGCCCTTCGTTTATCTTCTGAGCCGCCATCGCCACAGTCAGGTCTCTGACGTGGAGAAAGGGTGAGCCTGCCTCTTCCTCGGGCGCCGAGAAGCCACCCGAATAGGCGTGGGAACGCCGAGTAGGAAGCTGGTGCGGCGCAACGGCCGAGCGGCTACGGAGGGCCGGAGGGCTCACGCCGCTGCGGCGAAGCAGGGCTGGGAGCCGGCCGTTGCGCCCTGCCAAGAGACATCACGCAGGCGCGGGGCGTCCAGGCAGGCCCCGCCCAGGGCACCTGGCGCAGGCGCGGTGAGACACTGATGGGGCGTCTGCTTTCGCTCAGTATTTAGAGAGCACCTAATATGTCAGGCGCTGTTCCAGACACGAGAAAATCAGCAAAGATGCCCGCCCTCTTGAAGACTTGCACCAGGAGTTTTTCATTCATGTGAAACCACTGTGGATCTTCTTTGTAGGGTTAATTGGCATTATAACTTATTACATCTGAAGATTCTCTGTATCACAGCTAGAATGGTATTCATCTATCTCTCCATTCTACCTTTTGGGTATTAATCGTATGTCAGTCAAGAAACGAAACAGACTTGTAAGCCCTGATTACTGTCAAAAAATCCACTCCCGGCCCAAATAATCGCTCTAATATTTGAAGCCGTGATAAGTGCTCTAAATGGAAAGCTGAGGGACTTAAGGTCACATACAGTGGTCTGGTAGAAATAGTAACCAGGAATACAGTTGGCTCCATTCGTAATTCATGATGATTTCAACATCCACGTGGATGATTCCTGCAATGCCTGTACAGCCTCTCAGCTTCCACCTCCTGTGATCTTTCCCACACCAGAGCAGCCACACATTCTCGGGGTCATATCCTTGACCTTACTCATAATTGCGTGCCCTCCCTAGTGTCAGTTTCAAGGAGCCCACTTTACTTTCCCTTGCCATTCCACCTCATACCTCCTAGTGCCAGTAATTATTTACCTCCACCAAATTCCTCACCTTTCCCTATCCCTCTGCTCTTACACGTCCCTCTTTTCCCAGCATAAACTCATGTCCCATCATTTGAGTGCCTATACTCTCAACGTCTTTGGCTCCCTGTCCGTCCTTTCTCCCAGCCAGGAAAAACCCCAACTTTCCATCTGCTCTGGAACGGCTCGTAAGCAAGTGAATTTGGCTGGAAAAAACTAAACGAGCATGCTAAATTACTCATTTTAATGATCATAAACATCAAGCTGACCTTTGGTGCTGCTGAGCAACTCTCCTACATTTCCATGGTCAAATCCCCACACAGTTGGAGAGCTGTTCACACCTTCCTTCTCACAACTCCTACCCAAGCTCTGCTTGCCTGCTAACTCTCACTTCTTGTTGAATAGAAAATAACAATTCAAAGAGTTCTTCCCTTTGGCCTCACCACACAATCTGTCAATCTACCTGCATCTATTTGCCAATCAATATTTTTCCTTTTCTCTGGTGACAGTGGGTGAACTGGCCTTGGACTTTTTCTCTTCTATCCTCACTTTCTTATTTAGTACCCGCACACAAGACCCCCCTCTTCATTTGGTTGTGTAGCCTGGGCTTCCTTATAGGAAGGCAGGAGAATTTCAAGAGAGTGAGAGTGGACGTTTCAGGCTTCGTAAGGCCTGGACTCATGCTGCACATCACTGCTGCCACATTTTATTGATCAAAACAAGTCATAAGTCAAGTTCAGATTCAACAGGTAGAAGATAAAGGATTGTAAAATACCGTGACCATGACTTCCAGTTCACCACAATTCTGGGATGACTGATTAAGCATAAAAGGACTGTTATCAGCGGAAAGCCTTATGCTTTCAAGTGAATTTAGATTTATTAGCCACCCAGTGCCATCACCTTCTAAAACCATCAAAAATGCCCAGAAAGTTTTCTAAGGGATCTACACCAAAAGCCTATAGCCTCCTCCACATTCATTCATTCATTCATTCATTCACTCTTGAATTATTATTCACTGAACACCCACTCTGCAGAAGACACTGGGCCTCCACACCTAGGACCCAATTGTTGAGCAAGAGCTGTAATGCCTGCTCTCACGACATTTGTGATCTATGAAAGGATACAATATTTAACTTAATTTTGTTTTGCCATCGACAAAGAATTCAAAAAAAAGAAAGCCATGATAGTGATACAGCACTTATTAAGAAATAAGTTTTAGGCAGGTAGTAAGGGTAAAGGTTCTTGGTGGAAATTTTCCTGTTATAAGAAGCAACCCCTGAACCATCTCTTTTCTAACAGAAAATGCAGCTTGAGGGCCAGGCCGGCAAGCTTTGACATGCAAATGCTGGCCATTAGAAACTGGCTTCACTCAGCCTGGACATACCTGCCATCTTTTCCTCGTTATCAGGTGTACCAAGTGTCATGGCCACCTCCAGATAACACCATGTGTTCAGAACATCATGGTGACCCACAAGCCTTGGTGACCCATAAATGTAATTCTTGTTATCACAGCAGCTACCACCAGAACCTCAACAAAAGTTGTCTTTGTGACTTCAACTTATGTCTTGCCTAAGCATCTTTAGACACTTAATATCCTCTGGCTGGCTGCTGACCCAAGTGACTCCATCTGAGCCGATCCTCTCCTCTAGTTCTAGAAACTCCTTGTCTTTATCCTGCCTCAATAAAAATGCGCATTCCCAAGTGCTCTACTTGTTTTGGGTGTGACTAAAATGATTCACACCAAAGTGTGAATGAGGCTTAAATTAGAGCTTGCAAACCCTGTCTGAGAGTTCTTTGAGCCTGGGTCTCCAGGTTCCTTGTCTCCACACAAACCTGCTTCCTTCCCCTAGCCTCGTCTGCTGCCACGAAGCAAAATCGTTGGACCTACCTCCCACAGCTGAATGTTCCAGTCAAATAAAAGGTCTGTCATTTCTTGGAGAGAGGGTTTGGTTGATCAAATGAGCTCTATTTCAAATCAGGAATCACAAACGAGGGAGCATAAGAGCTCCTGTATCAGTAAGTTTTGTTTGTTTAATTGCTAGTACCTTGACAGTGTTATTTTACCCTTCTCCTCCTCCCCTAAATAGACTGATTTCTTATGCAAGAGATACACTTCTGAGACCTGCCCCAAGAGGTTAGCCATGAGTCATAAAATTATTTCTCTGGGAAAATATATTCTGAATTATAAATAATAAATTTACAAAAAAACCTTTGGAACAAATTCTGCTATCATCTGGCAGTTCCCCTCATCAGAATAGGATTTTGGAAGATTGTTCTTGGCTTTTGCTCTGATAAAACTAATACAAGCCTTTACGATCTGTATTTTATTTTATTTTTTTATTTTTTTATTTTTTTATTTTTTTTTGAGATGGAGTCTCACTTTATCCCTCAGGCTGGGTGCAGTGGTGCGACCGCAGTTATTTTCTGGTTAAGTGTTAATGAATACATTGATTTTTTTAAAATCACCACTGAATCTCTATGAGATCAAAACGGAGAACTCTTTCTCCAGATTCCTTTGTCCAATGCCTGCTGAGCAGCTCCACGTGGACCTCAAATGTCACACACAACCTGTCCAAATCTGAGCTCCCACACCTGCTTTCCCTTCATGCTCAACCGCGTCTGTTCAGGGCAGCTTCACCCTCTCCTTGCCCAAACACTTAGAGCCATGCTCCACTGCTCCCTTCATCACACCGCATGCAATCTATAGGAGATTCTGTTGATTTTGCCTCCAAAAAGTGTCCAGAGGCAACCGCGTCTCTGCGTCTCCTGTCCACGGCCACCGTCTGTGAGTCGCCATCATCTGTTACTGCACTTGCTGTCTGTGTTCAGAACCTAGTGCAGTGCCAGCTCCAGAGCAGAACCCAATTTCAGCTGAAAGTCCTGTGTCACTACGGAGGAAGAGGAAGAAGCATTTGGACACTCAGAAGGTGTTTTCTCTCAGGTCTGGCCATGGCCCTTATTCAAGGTAATTTCTTTTTTCTTTCTTTTTTTAGAGACGGGGTCTTACTCTGTCACCCAGGCTGGAGTGCAGTGGTATAATCATGGCCCACTGCAGCCTCAAACTCCTGGGCTCCAGCGATCCTCCTGCCTCCACCTCCCAAGTAGCTGCGACCCTAGGTATGTGTCACCACACCTGGCTATTTTTGTTATTTTTAGTAAAGGCAAGTCCTCACTGTGGTGTCCAGGCTGATCTCAAATTTCTGGCTCAAGCAACCCTCTCGCCTCCGCCTCGCACAGTGCTGGGATCATCAGTGCACTCCCCTGCACCTGACTCTTTCCAGTGATTTCTTTGGCTTGTTATCTGCTTCTGTTTGCTGGCGTTTCTCCACATTTCTCTCAATCTCTCCTGCTCTAACCGTTCATAAGATCATCATTTTAAATTTCCTTTCATTTTCAATTGAATTTCAAAATCAGAGCAAAAGAGTGAATGTTTGAAGAAGGAGAAAGAGAAGGGGCCACACCCACAGGTTCCAGCCCTTGAAGAGCAGGCAGATTGGCATCGCCTAACCATAGCATAGCTTCCAGAGCAGGCGGACCAGCTCTGGGGGTGGGAGAGGGAGGAGTGCCAAAGGGGCCTGGAGTGGGAGTGGAATTAGTAGCCTGGAGCTTGCCTGAACTCCCAGACACCTGCTGGGGGCTGGCAGCTAAGACCTCCACTAAACCTCAGGGCCCCTGGGAATCACTTGCCAGAAACTCTACAAAGCTTTAGAAACACTGTTGTTAACCCATCTCACGTATGAGGACACTGAGGCTCAGAGAAGCTAAGTAACTTTCCTAAGGTCACACAGCCAGTAAATGGGACGATGGGGACCCGAACCCAGACTCATCTGACTCCAGATCTACACTTGGCCCAATATAATGGACCAGAAAACGGTCCTTATTTTGTAATGGTTTAAGAACCACTCACACAACACTGCTGCTTAATTGTATGGACTCAATTATTGATTTTCAAATGTTTTTATAGGAAAAAAAAGTCGGTTTACTAAGTACCTGGCACTTCACACATACCTGCTTTGAAATTTTAATAATAATTGGAAAATGAAAGTTGGAAGTGTATTATGTTCGACTGAAGTAAGTTGTCAAATGGCTGAGAAGGAGCCACCCCTAACAGATGTGCCAGGCATATTATACTGAGAAGTCCCTCTTCGGCAGGCATCACCTGGGGAGAGTCCCGGCGTTCACTCCTCCTCCCGCGTAGTCTTGTGGTTCCCTTCAGCCAACACACGGTGGCGCTGCGTGCACGTGCCTGTACAAGCTGTAAACTGTAAGCTGTCCAAACAAAAGTGGTTAGTTTCTGCCTTTTGGGATTACAGTCAGATT